AGTGACGTAAATATTTAATGTGAGAAGTATTTTTGCATCTGTCTATAGATGCTTTCCTTGCACATATATATTGAGGTATATTTTATATATAGAAGTTAAATATATACCCATTTTAATATTGTCCTGATATTTAGGGCGTGTTTGATTCACATTATTTTGAAAGAATGTATTTTGGAATAGTAGATTGATGGAGATTTTGTAGTTGAAAAAGAAGGAAAAGTTATTGATGTGATAGAATATATTATTTTATTAAAGAATGTGTGGTTGAAAATGAGTAGAAGAATGAGAATGAAAATTTTAATGTGTACCAAACGGGGCTTAATATAAGACAATTAATTAATAATGACTTTGTTTACATCTCTAAGCTCATTTATTTTGATCTTGAAGATAAATTCTTCACCAATTGAGAACTCCCAAGTCCTTTTCACAATCTTTTTAAAATATTTTGTTATATATATATATATATATATATATATATTATTTTTTTTTAAAGGGATAATTGCAGCAGCGATCCTAAACCGTTGAGCTTTTTGCAGACTTTGTCATCACCTTCACTTTGTGTCATCCATAGTCTCAAACCTTTCATAAATTTGCATCTGAAATCCAAATTGATAAAAATATCAATTTGATCGTTAGTTGACCAAAAAAATTGACTTTAACCAAATTTTGACCATTTTTAAAAGGTAAAATGAGTAAAACGACGGTGACTTTGGCTATCGGTAGCCACCATGAATTCACAGCAAAGAATGACAAAAAGCTCAAAATTCAGTGGAAAAATTTAGTGATAGAACTTTGTGAAATTACTTCACCTTTTGCTATTGTTGTGTAAACATCAGAAGCTTTTGATAATGCAAAAAACCTATTAAAAACCTATTGCAATCTACCCTTGCTCACATTGAATTACTAACAACAATTGGGTCTATTGAAGTCCCCTCCATGCGGTTAGGTAAATTAGGGTGGGTGGTTGGTTTGGGTAGGAGGAGTTGTGGTGGCGGTGTGGGCCGGTGGTGACTGGGGAGAGTTGTTTTGGTGGTGGCAATGTAGTTTTCTGGTTTTAATTGGGATGGGGATGGGGGAAATGGTGAGTTTATACGTGTTTTCATTTTTTTGATTTTTTAAAATTTAATTTTTAACTTATTTATGTATAAAATACAAAGTTAACATTACCCTTCAAGAAATGGTCTAAATTTGGTCAAAGTCAAATTGCTTGGTCAACTAACGATTTACAACCATTTGGACTTCATGTGTGAATTTATGAAAGGTTTATTCCTTTGGGTGACACAAAATAAATGTTAGTGTAAAGTTTGTAAAAAACTCAAAGGTTTGGGACTGCTATTGCAATTACCCCTTTTTTAAATCATAGGTATAATATTAGATTAAGGGATTAAATGTCAACTTACTAAATTGTTTTTCTATTAATTTCGTTTGAAACTTCAAAATGAGAAAAGTATTGAAGTGTTTGGATCAAACTTCAACAAAGTCTTCACAAATTATAAAATGTTTTCTAATTTAAATTAATACAATACACATTGACTTAGTTGAAATCAATCTAAATACGTTAAATTGAGCTAAATTTGGTCAAAAATAGCTCCTCGTTTTTTCTCTATCATTAATTTCTTGACATTCATCCCTTTCGTTTGGAAAAGGAAACAATGTTGAGAAATTTTGGAGTTGACAATTTTGACATTCATCACTTCGTAGAATCAAATACTGAAAAGTGCTTCTCTAATTACGGACATGAATGGGCTTAGGGTGGATGATAAGAATGGACATACAAAGACTGATTTGTCGTTGATTCGATTAATAAGAAAACGAAAATGAATTTAAATGAGAATAGTAGAGAGTTTTTCAAAAATTTTAGTATTGACAAGTCTACTGCAAACAAAATTGAATAAAGATGACTTTTTTGTTTTTAATGCAAGACTGCAAGTTCGTCTAACCTTTTTAAACAAAATTCTCTTAACGTTATAGTTAAAGTCAGTGAGTGACACGTAAAGTCTACCATAACAAAGTACAAGGAAGAACGCACATTTAGACGGTTCATAGACTCAATAGTCTTCCGTGCATGCATGATATGGACGCAGCCTTTGGTGATTATCAGGCCATAATTCTATTAATTAACAGAGCTCT